CACAGTGTTGGAAGAAATATCAATTTGGCTGGCCAAATTAGTATCCAGAAAGTTAGTGGATCAGGGCTTAGTTCTGACCTCAGACCTGTGCTTCGATCTAGCTCTGACATTCACTCTCTCTGTGACCTTGGACAAGTTACTTACCCCTCTAGGTCAGGTATCAAAGACACGCAGAGGATTAGACACATACAGCTCAGGTAAATCTTATGCACTACAGAAAAATCCATCTGCTGCACCAGGTTATATATTGTTTGCTGGGCCTGGAAGCTGTTCTGGCAGCTTTCCCTCTAGTATTATTTTAAGTATGTCACCCAGCGTCTGACATAAGTGTTTATAGATCAAATGGTGACCCTTACGTTTTGTTCATGTCACCAATAAACTATACTGCCTTTCAGACTATGACTGTTGAAAGGATGAGAAATTTAGCATAGCCAAATTTTAGAAATTAATTCTGGCCTTCTAATCTTATTATCATCATTCAGAAAGAAGTTGCTGTAAGTTAAGACAATGTTTTAAAGATAGGGTTTGCAAACTTATATCATCCACAGTGTTGGAACTACTAGATCAAGAAATTTTTCTATTCCTGTAATGTCATTAAAATTCAATATTCTTTCAATTGCACCCAAGGGCACCTACAAAACATTTATAAAATTAAATGACAAAGTCTTCAGTAATTATTACAGTTCAATTTTAAAAGTATATTAAGGGGTTTAAGAAAAACCCTATACATTTCAAATAATTCGTCCTAAAAATAGGAGCAATGAAAGGTGGGATTAAGTGCCTAATTGTATGTCTTTTAAAGCAGATGAGAAAAGATCAAACAATTTAGTGTAATGATAAATTTAACCTGAAGTTAAAAAAAAAATAGCCCAAAATCTTGAATTTCCAGTTAGAAAGGGATGCTTAGTAAACACCTAGAGAAAGAAATGTTGGATGGTAACATTACATATTTCTAAATATAATCCTGACTACTAAATAAAAATCCAACACAGCTTTCACTTACTAAAATTAACGAGAAAATCTACATCAGTCATAATAGCATGTGGGGGGCTAAATTCACTAACTCCCTTTTCAATCTTACCTTGCCATGCTTTCAGCATTTTTGTCAGATAAGAACAACTTTTTTGATGTTCCTTTAGATTTTACTTATTTTTCCTATTTTCTCTGTGCAAGTGTATCTAGGAGTGATGGTTTTCCTTATCTGAGCAAATATTTATTCATTCTGTGCATTAAAAATGTGACTTTCAAAAATATACTCTCCATATTTTGCTTTATTTAAAAACAGGATGCAGATTATATTAAATGGGAGATACTAGCTTGGCTTATGATTTGCTCGAATTTGGAGAAACTATGACAAATTTAACTCAAAATCTCCTAGGCAAGCATATTGCTTGCCTGCCTTTACCCCCAAATGTGCTATTTTTTTTCTCTTGCAACTGCTTTCAGATGTACTCCTCAGTTTAATTCCAGGGCTAGCAATCTGATCTAGGCAAATTTCACAGGGCTTCCTGCCTCCTATCTCTCCCAGTTATAATCCATTTTACAGCTGCTGGCATAATTTCTAATACCATCTTGCTTAAGAACCTAGATTCAGCCTCTTCAGTCTGGCACATTCAAATGCCACAAACAACGGATTCCTCTACCTCAGTCCTGCCCCTCACCAGTTACTAGTCACCACTATACTTCCACACCTGGCTTCTCCACCACCCTCTGCTAAGTCCAATTATTAGACATTCTTGTGATGAAACAGAACTGACCCCAAATCACCCTGCCTCCACCTGGGTCATTTCTGTTTTTCCTTATCAAGCATTAAGCAGGTTATAATTGCTTTTTGCTTGGTCTGTATTTCCAGTATGTTCTCATCATTACACATTTCTGTGTAATGTCTGTGTCCCTCCTAGTTTAGAAGTTCTATGAGGCAACGGATCGATCGCCTTGCCTACTTTTATTTCAAGAAACCATCAGTGACTGGGCTTTTGCACTATCAGTCACTCTAACCACTGAATGATCTGCCTCAAGAATTGAAGGGATGTAAGCCTATGCAGGTAAGGAGCACATCTGTACATCTATACACCCTCTCAAATCTGGAGCGCATCTGTTCACCTTCTTATAGTAATTCAAAAGCCTACAGCTCTCTTCCTCTTTCTGTATGGTTATCACCTATCTGTATCTATAGCTTATAAACTTTCAAACCTTTTGCTGTAAAAACCCATGAAAAAATAGTGGAAGGGAACATAAATGTTAGCAGCAGTTAATTCTTGGATCATTACAAAAAAGAAAGCGGCAAGGTTGGGTTGGTGATGGGAAATGATAGAGGAAATGATAATATGGACTGTTCCTTAAATTTTTTTGGCACTGATTCTTTCTAATCTTATCTTCAGTATTTCCTAAATCTTCTATAACAAACTTGCATTTCTCACATAAAAATCTATACTAAGATACACAAGCTAATTTGACATAGGAAGCATGACAATCAAATTTGACATGGATAAAATTTTAAAATAGAGTGCAAGGTTTAGGATTCCGGTATTTAAAAACTGAAAGACAAAATCCTCTACCTCTACCAAATCCTTTAGATTTTCAAAAAAAAAAAAAAAAAATCTAATGATAGAGAATCTTGAATTGACAAACTAAGATAAATGTTGCCATAATTACTCCAAGGAAATAATTAATCCCATGCACAATTCCTACCTGTTGTTATCCTGTCCTCTGGTCTGAAATATTATTCATATAATGACTTCCCCATTCACCCCCCCCACCTATTTTACATTCATATATCCAACTGCCTGCTCAATAGCTCTGTTGGGATAATTAACAGGAATCTCAAAACTCAACATATCCTGGGCAGATTTCGATTTACACCCTTCAATTTGCTCTTCCACCATTTTTCTGAAATTTCAACTAATGGCATCATCTTTGCTCAAAATCAGTCATGGTTTCTTTCTTCCTTTCCATCTAATCCATCACCAAATTGTCAGAAAAGACAATTGGTGAAATCTCGAATCTGACTTCTCCCTCCAACTACCACCAGTCTCAACATCTCCCACCTAGATGACTGCAATAGTCTCCCTTATTTTATCCCACTATAGCCCGTTCTCCATCTACTAGACAAAAAGAGAGCAGACCAAATCAATCCCTTGCTTAAAACCCTCCAATGGCTTACCATCACATTCAGAAGAAAATTTAAACTTACTATGGGCTCACTGTCCGAAGCAGTCAGGCCCTTGCCACTCTACCTTATCACCTGCCACTCCCTATTACACTCACTGGACTTCGGTCTTACTGCATTCTCTTTCTCATCATATAAGCTTATTTTGAGACTTAGTTTTCTTGTTCCTTTAATCAAAATGCTCATTTCTTTGTGATTTTCTTCTCATCATTCAAAGTCACTGTTCCCAAATGACCCTTACTTTGTCTTGTACCCCAATGTATAACCATCACCTAAAATGGTGACTGTCACATTGGTCTTCAATAAATATTTGTTGAATGAATGGCTGAAAAGAATCTAAATATTCAATCAAGCTTCCTGGACATGAAGAGTTGTTCCAGCTGATCCAATGATCCAGTTTGCAATGGCAACTCCTCTACCCTACCCCCCTCAAAAAACCCCAACAACCAAGCATCTCCCACAAAAACTCCAACCCCAAATAATCTTAGAACATACATTTCTAGTCTATGTTTTGTATCAGCTATTGCAAAAATATGAAACAAAGCCTGAGCCTCATAGATATGTAGTGTGGTGTATCCACACCAAGCAGCACTGTCCCCTTTGGAGACTTTTCACCTTTAAGCCAGTCCTTCATGTGCACTTTTATCTAATTTCTTCTAGGTAAAGTGCATGTGTTGGATGTGTTTGGGTACAGAACAAGTGGAGGAACTAGTGTGAATTTCCCTGTATTTACACATTTCCAGAGATGGCTCTAGCTTCCCTATGAGAGTGCTGACTCACTCACCACCTCTGTGCCTCTACCAAAAAGCAACTTTAAGCTTTCTTTGCTACAAAAACAAAAGATTAGTCTATTAAGACTAATCTCAATAAAATTTACCAAACTAGTGTGTAGTGCCAAGTAGCAAAGGAAACTGGAGATAAAGATGAATAGCGACCAGATCAAGATGTCAAATAAAAAGGTTCATAAACTCTGAATTTTGTCAAAGTGAGGCACAGAATTCAAGTTTCAACTTTTATGGCTCAAGCCATTATAAGTCTTATATAAACCTTCCAATGGACCATGAGAACACACAGCAGTTTGTGGAGTATGATATTTGGGCTCAATTTTTGTTGAAGAAATAAACATTTAACAATGACTCTTAATAACTGTATTTAAGCCAAGCTGTTTCCTTTTCAAAAAAAATTTACTGTGTTTTGACAGAAATTACTGATGTATGTTTTCTTGGTGTAAGGTGACTGTATTACAAATACGATTGTATCAGCAAAACTAAACCTTAGGTGTGGATAAATCTGAATGGTACAAGGATAGTATATATAGAATAAGGCCTCTAAATGATTTTAAACCAGATGGCAATATTATTTTTTAAAGTAACATCATAAATGTACATATGTATGTGTATATATATGTGTGTGTATGTTTATAGATATACACAGATAAAGTGAATGAATGAATGAATGAATGAATGAATGCCGGAAAGAATGAGAATGGATAGGAATCAGACGAACCTTTCCTTGGGTTAATTACTTTACTATGAAGATGTGTCCAAACTTCTGAAGAATTTCCTGGTTTGTATTAAAATGCACTTCAAAAAGACCATGAGAACAAATATTAAGTTGACAGGCTACAATGGGATTCAGAAAAAGACACAGTGAATATAGATTAAGGTGCAATTTCATGCTGGTGATTTTTCTTTTTTAAAATATAAGCCACTAATTTTTTTAGGAAAAAAATTTTAAACTGAAGGTTGCATATTAATATTACACACAAACTGAAACATGTGACTTTTAGCACAATGTATACATGCTTACATAAAACTCAAATATTTACACATTTAAAACAATTTCCATTTAACATACGAAAGTTCTGAAATACATAAAAGCATTAATATTTTCTATAAAACTACAATTAGAACATCAATTTGCTACAAGCATATAAAACATCAAGTGCTTTCTTGGAGTTTCAAGTTTCCTCTTTAAAATAAGATCTTGCTTGCATATATAATCTTTCTCCAATAATCAGTAAGGACTTTTTTTTTCCCAAGAGATTATTTTCCAGATACATTATAAGCTCAAGAAAACGGACCCAACAATTATGCAATATAATTATGTCATAACAACTTAATTGCACATAATGCTTTAAAGTAGGTTTGGATGACGTTCTCGAACACTTTGGTATATGTTCTTCAGGGACTTTTATTAGAAATAATAAGAATTATAAGTCCCCTCAATCCCCATTTTGCTTTAAAAATGGACAAGTCTTTGGTTAAGTTCTACATTTTGGGCATTTAGGATTATAATAAAAATGGTCCCCAAACCAATAAATGGCGCTGATGTATTAGTTCACAAGACTTCATTTAACTTGTTTCTGATGAAGTGGAAGGCTAAAGATATTCATTTATTATAACACATCATTGATAGCTTCAATCTTCCATTTACAAGCAGAGAAATCAATGGTTAGTCAATATTTCTCTGTCCATTTGTGTTATAATCTAAACTGTACAGTAATTTGCAGTAACTAGAGATACTGTTCCACAGTATATGTGATTACGACTGGAAAGATGAGTAACATTAAATTTAGAGTTGAATAAGAGTAAGTCAATATTAGACTGTACAGTAATTCTGCATTAACTATAGTAGGTTGTTGGGTAATGCTTATTTAAAAACCCCATACCATTCCATTTACAAGAGAAATTGTTGCAAATGTATAAAACAGCAGATATACAAGGAGAACACCAAACATACTTTATTAGCACAAAAAAAGCAGCCATAACAAGGCACAGCAAGCAGAAATGTACATTAGCAGTCAAAGGGTTAGTGTTGCATACAAATATAGCTTTTCTTTTTTGTAGCCTTGGCAATAGCCATCAGGATGTAAAAGAACTTTTCTGTAGCAGCAGGTAAGGAAACCAAGGAGCACTCACCAGTGGTACAGGGCACATTAACAAAAAGACACAAGAATGGATTCGACTAGTGCAAAATGTCTAGCACAGAACCGTAAAATTCAGTTCAATACTAAGAAGCAAACACTAGAACTTGGTATTACTTCCAAAATAGCTCACTCAAGTAGTACTGCATACTATTCTAAGTGACAAAAAGGTGCTAAGTAAAGTTATTTACAGATAGAATGGTTGTACAGTACCTTTTAAATCTGCAATTAGGGTTTCAGATTTTCCATTAGAAATTAACTGCTTTGAAATTCTATAAATTGTACTTAAGCTATTCAGCTGTAAGAGTTTACAACAAAGAGCTAAATACTGCCATCCAAATTGTTCACTACAGTTTAACAATAATCTCAACATCAGCAACCACTGCTGTTATCATCTGACTTGTGTGGGCATCTTCTAGTCTCACTTTCTTCATGGTTCACAAACACATCATGGGCACGGGAAAAGATCCAACTTTAATCAGCGCGTAGACTGCATGTACTAATGTAAAAAAAAAAATCACACACAGGACTACATTGCAGCTCTTCCCAATGTGTTTTAAGTTAAAGCATTCATTCAAAAAAAAAAAAAAAAAAAAAAACACCTAAGGCCTTGAAATAAAATTCTACTATCAGCTTTATAAGCCTGAACTTTTAAGAGCAACTATTTAGAAAACCTGGTTTACTTAACAGTACCTTTTGCAGAAGAGACAGGAGACTGACTATAAACTATATCAACACTTAATTGAACTGCACTATGCCCTTGTGGCCAGAAAATTGCATTTTTCTTTTTTTTTCTCAAAGGAAGGCAGTCTTTATTTTTGGACTTCCAAAGCTTGATTTATAGTAACTACAAACAGCAGTACTTTTGGAAGGTTATAGAAAAATTCTTAGAAAAAAATAACAATTTCAAACATTAGTCACACTGTTGAAATACTCATCCAATATTAATAATTTGTTCTTCAGTAAGAAATAGAATTCTTCATAGCAAATGCCCCAGAGTTGCTTTACTCAATTACAACAGTCATTAAAAACCAAACTGTTCACTCAATCAACAAAACGCTTTTGTAGCCTTACTGAACACCTATAGCTCTGTCCTCTGTTGTCTCAATAGGCACCAAGTTTATCTGAGTAACAGCAGATTGCATCTGACAGATACTAACACTAAGCCTACATACTGTACTGAAAAAAACCTAACACTGATCTGTGTGCTTGCTATAGGTGTACTGTCTGATGCACATCAAAGCAGATCTAGTTAATGCCCTTTGGGGGCAGGAGAGTTTACTTTGCCTTGACTGGTTCTCGTTCTAACCAGCGAACTCTAACTTTTTGCTTATAATGATACTCTTTCAGAAAATCCTGCAACATGGATGGTAAAGGGAGCCCATCGATTCCATCATATGTAGTGCATCTACAGATTACTGCACGGCAGATATATTGCAGGCTAAAAGGGAAAGTCCGGTTTAGTGATATAGTAAGCAATGGTTCAAAAAACATGCAAGAACTGGGATCTTTATAATGTTCCAAAAGTCCTGTTACAGTGGAGGAGTGAAATACACATGGGTCGTGGGCGTCAAAACTAAAGTTGTGGTTCCATTGTTCGATTCGGGCATGCAGGGATCTGTTGTAGCGACGGAAGCTCACAGAGAAGAGGTAGTCCTCCTGCGCAGAGTCCCTGAGCAAGAATGTGCCTTCAGGTTTCCCTTCAAGGAGGGCTTCTGCTTCGTAACGGTCCATCACTCCCCAGTAACAGGGATTTCCTGTGATCTGAAGCAAGTCAGGCACGAGGCAGTGTATGTAATCAATCTGCGTATGGACTTTCCAAGCTCCCTGTCTGCTAATGTGGGCATGGCTGTCTCCAGACACCTGACGTTGCTTCTGCCTACGTGACTGCAGACACAGTGTGGTAGTGTCCTCTTCTGAGTCACAATTAGCTTGAGGAATTGCAGTACTGTCCCCACTTACTTCAGTCATTCCGGGAGCTAACTTTGGTCCCAGTTTATATAACGGATTAACCTGTGCGGTGGCTTCAAATGTATGTATTTGTGCATTGGGAGGAGGGTCAACCCCCTCTTCAATACTAAGCCGCCTTCTTTCTCGAAGCCTATCTTCTTCATCTTCTGTAGAAACCAAGGATGGATCAAATGTATCAAAAAATGTTGAGTGTGGGCTCACAGGGGCTGTATGCTGTTTAATCAAATGCCATTTCTGGGCTAAATCTGAGCCAGCAGGAAAAGGGCATTTCTCAAGCATTAATTCAGAAAGGTGTATTTTTCTTTTATTAGAAAAGAGGGGTTTTGACTGCTTGCTGTAAGTTCTCATGGGAAAACACAAGCCCACAGTATCCTGCAACCTCTGTCTCAGAGAGCGGCTTCCTACAGTTCTGCTGGACATGCTGTCCATATCGTGCATGGAGCTTACGCCATACCGCCTCTCCCTCCTTTGAAGTCCGCTTCGAGTTCTACCAAACTTTTTATCAGTATCCAATGAACTCTGCGTCTTTGTAGAACAGGAATGTTTTTTCTTCCCACCCCACGGAGCATGCCGAGAATAGGAATCTCTTCTTGCTAGCCTTGCTCCTGGGGTGACACACGAATCATTATCCTTTTCAATGCTTATTTCGACAATCTGAGGAATTTCAGTAGCACAGTTTTGGTTTCTCCTTGAAGAATTCTTGGAAGGGCTTGATCCCAGTTGTAAGGCAACGTTTTCTCTTAAGGGACTGCTTTGTTGTTGAGGAGTGGAGTCTCCTATACTGAGGTTTCTCTCTTTCACAGACAAACATCTGTTGGAGTTCATGTCCACATTTTCACTACGGCTCCCTCCCTCGTGACCGAAGAGATTCTGACACCTGTATTTGAAGTGATTCCACATCTTCCCCACTTTATCCATTGATTATAAGATCTAAAGAAAAAAGAGGAAGAGGAGAGACTGAGGTTAAGGTGGTGTGTGCAAACAAAACAGGCAGCACCAGCCCCTTCTCATTGGCGATCTCAGTGACACGCATCAGGACACCACCCTCTGCTGTCCTGCTGAAGTGAGAGGAGGAAGACGCTGCTGACTGCTGCTGATGGTCCTAAGTGCCACTCATGGCACCATTCATCAGGCCAATCCTCATTCCCCATTTCCTTTCAGATGGAATACTTAGATTTCATGGGAAAGGAAAGAAATTCTCTCAATTAAATTCTAGATTCTTTTCCCATGCATCAACCTACTTTCATTATGACACTGATTTCTGTCTCCTTAATACAAATAATTCAGGCACTTCCTCAAGCATTACAAAGGGAAAATACATTCTGTATTGCTGAAATATATCTGTATTCAACAGCTCCAAAGCTGAAACCAGGACTACATTTGTCCAACACATTAACTAGTTCAAAAATCTGTAAGTAGTGATCTTCCAGATTTCACGGACCAACTGCTATATTTCCACTCATCGGGCAATCTAAAGGTTACAGCTAGATCAATCACTTGTGAAAATTCAGTATCTTCCCTCCCTACTCTGCGATGTATTGAATTTTATCTGTGATTTTAAAGAAGCAGTTTGAATAGAAAGGCAAATAGGAGGAAAGAAAGGAAATATTTAGATTTAAATGGGAAGGCGTCTTTTAGCTTCCCAATTCTTCATCCTGGAAGAGTTTGGAAATAACAGAGTAACAGAAAAAGCTTTGCTACTGAAGTAATTAACAAAATAAAAACAAAAAATATGCAATTTGGCATCTTTATTTTTGTTCCTTAAGAAAAAGTTGAAAGCAGATCATCACACTTTACAAATAGGTTATTTTACAATTCTAACACAGTCATACTGTCTCATTCAATAACCTAAAAGTCAACATTAGAAGAAATGGAAAAATGCGAACTTAAACTTCAGCTGGTTTTGTTCTAAGAGGACAGCAGAAACTTTTTAAAAAAGGTCTCTCTATTTTGCCATTTAAAGAGTATGGCACTTTCTTCTCTGGAATTTTTTGTTCCTGTTTATTATCTCATTATGTACTAATTTTCACAGTTTAGAATCAGTACGGGAAAACTGTCTGAATGTTTTCTCTTACAGCAGTGAGATGCATTAGAGCTGATCCTCCCATAACTGTGACAAATGTTCTTTGTGATAAATACTGGGATTTTCAAGACAGTGACTAGGGTTAAGACAAGAGAAAAAATTAATTTTATGTATCTTCATTTTTAGTTTTTTACAGAAAGGGCTCTTGAACTAATGACAATCCAATATAGAATGAATTTCTATGAAATCATAAAACATACTTGCAGATTATTTATTACAAGCATATTGCTAGGTATATAGGAGTTTGCATGGTATATGGCATATATTCTACTATAATGTATTAGATGGATTAGATTAAAAAAACTTTAAATCTTATTAACTCTATCAGAATATCTGTCTCCTCCCCTTAGCAGAAATCTTTTTTGTAAGCCTTTTTTTTTTTTTTGAGGTTTATACTATTTGAAGTAACATGCCTTGCTGTTATTACATCATCTTTTTTTCTTTTTTTAATTATGATTCTGTTCTTTGCTCACAGTCTTGTTACATACGGGGCTAATCCTTATCATATTCTTAGTGACTCCAACATCTTTGTTGATGTATGCTTCCAATATCCTAGGTCCTTTCTAGCCCAGTTTCCTTTTCAGTTCTTTATTTTTAAGCTGTTTTTTATCCTTACCTAATTCATACATTTATACAAGCCCACCTTGTAGATATTGTAGGTTCGGTTCCAGACTGTAATAAGGTGAGTATTGCAATAAAGCAAGTCAAATGAAATTTCTGGTTTCCCAGTGCACAGAAAAGTTATGTTTATACTACACTGTAGTCTATTAAGTGTGCAACAGTAGCAGGTCTACAAAAAACCAATGTATGTACCTTATTTAAAAATGTGTATATATTGCTAAAAAATGCTAACCAGCTTTCAGTGAGTTGTAATCACCGATCACCATAAAAATATAATAATGAAAAAGCTTGAAATATTATAAGAATTACCAGAATGGGGTACAGAGACATGAAGTGGGCAAATGCTGTTGGAGAAACTGTGCAACAGACCTGCCTGATAGAGGGCTGCCTCAGACCTTCAAACTATACACAGTGTCTGTGAGGTGTGATAAAGTCAAGTGCGGTAAAATGAGGTATGCCGGTAGTCTCAAAAAACAAGGCTCATAACAAACAGTAGCACTGCCTGCCACTCCTTTCCATCTTTAATTCTACTCTCAGGGAATCAAGGAAAGTAAGTCCAGTATCACAGCAATTCCCAGTCTCTTTTCATGTGACCTGTTTTTATTTTTGTGAGAAGTTGTAGCTGCCTCTCTTTAACCTCAGCCTGGGCCTTTTTTACATTTATTGTGTCCTTTCCATTCCTATCTCACTCATTGGCCCCATCCCTCTCTCCTGAAAGTCCTTTTGTTAGACAATAGACCTCTTAGATTCATCTTCTGATTGTATAGATTTTCTTTTCAATATCGCATTTCTTTTCTTTTTCTACCATCTGGAAGATTTCTTTGGTATCACCTTGCAACACTTCTACCACAGTTAGAATGTTTCTTATCACAGCTTTAATTTCCAAGACCTTTTTTTTACTCCCTGAATGTTCTTTTTAATAACATCCTATTCTAGGTTCTTGGACAAATATAGCATTTCTCAGAGGATACACATTTTTCAAATGTTTTCTTTTTTTTTTTTAACATTTTAAATATTTTTATCTGTTTCTTCCTTTCTTCTCCTTAAATCTTTCCATGTCTGTTTTTTATTTTAGAGGCTTTCCACAAGGGTCTGATGAGCGCCCCTGTCCACAGCAGATGTGACCACTAACATGCTGATCAGAAGTTCTGTCTGCATGGTGGTGCAGGCAGTTGGGTAGGGTACTTGTCAGGTGGCTGGCTTTCACATAAGGTGATGAGGCAATGAGTTCCTTTTTTTTTTTTGGAAATCCACAAAAGTCAGGATCTGTAAATCTTGTCTCCTAGCTGTTAATCCTAGAGATAAATACTTCAATTTCCTCTCTTGTGGATATACTTGACTGCTATGTTCTGAGAACAGGGTAAGGGGAATTTTGCTTAGTCTCTATTTTTCAAAAGGTGTCTTTATTTTTAAAAGACACCACACACCTCAGCTCCGACTGACCCTCTTAGATAAATTTCTCTGAGTTCTAACCTCTATCTAGTTTTATCCAGGGTAAAAGTCTCCTGATTACTGTGGGAAAGGGAGGGATGGGGGCTCTGAAGCATACAGACTTTCAGCCATTCCTGTGTTCAGCTTTATGCTTCACCCTTATCTTCAGAGCTAACTGGTTTCTCTAATTTCTGAGCCAGCAGTATAAATTGCTTTGCTTAACATCCTCATTTGTAAACATTTATATTATTTTCTCCATTCTGTTAATTTCTAGCTACCTGCTTCTACCAAAACCTTGTTGACCAATCAGGCCTACTTCTGTCTCTTTCTTATTTGTTTTCTACTTGTGGGTTTATGCCTTATACCTTTTTTATTCCTTTAATTTTAGTGGGGTTCCAGGAGTGAGTAGAATTAAAATGCCAATGTTCAATCTGACATATTTAACTGGAAAGTCCCCTTTCCACTGTTAAAGAGAGTCAACAGTACACCACACAGAAAACCCCCTGCCCAGATGAGTCATTCTTTCCCAATGGAGAAAGAGCAATCACCACCCCCCCCAGCCCTGGGGCTAGGGATCCACACAATAAACACTGGCTACATAATATAATCACCTGGAGAGCTTTTGAAACTATATGATACACAGCGCCGCCCCCCCCCGCCCCCCCAAGAGATTGTGATTTCATTGGTCTAGAGATGCACCTGGACACTGCTGTTTTTTTTTTTGTTTTTTTTTAATAAGCTCTTTGGGTGATTCTAGAGTAGAGAAGGAAAACCACTGACCAGCCATGGGCTCCAATGGTAGCTCTGAAAGAGTAAAAAGGACACTGCTCTGGAGCAGTTGGCAGGATGTGAGTAGTTCTAAATAAACTACCTACCAAGGTCTCATCACTGTTTCTCTTTGTTTTATTTTTGCCATGTACACCAGAGGCCTGCAGAATCTTAGGAAAGACTATCTACAGCAGTGCCTCTCCATAATGAAGAGGTAGGTTCTTTTTAATTTCACAGACCAATTCTTTTGTAAGACATTATAAGAATAAATTATTAGGAAAAATGAAATATAAAAAAAGACATGAAATACAAATACCAATTTTCTTATTAGATTGAATAGACAGAAAAGAACTATCAAAGAGCTATAAAATATTTTAAATGCTTATTTTTAATTCCTATACTTAATTTGTCAAAGACTGATAACCAACTGTACAAGTTTATGGTCCTTATTCTGAGTAGTTCTCATCTGCAGTGTGCTGTTCAATACATGTGGTCATTGAGTCCCTGAAATGTGGCTTCTGCCACATACTGAAATGACTAATAGTTTGGATACAATTGGCTAAATATATTATTAAAATTAATTTCATCTGCTTTTTACTTTTTAAATGTGGTTACTAAAAGATTAAAAATTACATGTATGGTTAAAATTGTACTTCTATTGGACGGTACTGATCTAGAGCAGGGGTCAGCAAACCATAGCCCAAGGGGACAAATCTGGCTTATGGCCTATTTCTGTATGGACCCTAGCTACAAGTGGTTTTTACATTTTAAAGGGATTAAAAAAAAACAAAAACAAAAACAAAACCCACAAAGAACAGAGACCACATGTAGTGCAAAGCCTAAAATATCTTCTATCTGGCCTCTTAACGCAGAAAGTTTGCTGACCCTGGTCTAGAGTAAAGTAAGATTATAAACCATACAACTGGTCTAGATTATAGACAGTACAAGAACAACATTCAAGAAGTCCAAAAGCCTCTCCTTCTCCATGTTTATAAGATGAATTCTATAGCTACCCACAGATATTTGA